CGGTGGTAGACGAAACATTAACGCTCAGTAGGCTGCGTTATGTTCTTCTTGGAAGCCAGGGTCACATACTTCCGTTAGCCATGTGATGTTAACCACTGGATTTCAAGTAACACAATTATAATTTCTGCTAATCCTCGGACTATCATAGTTCTAATTGTAAGGGAACTGTCGCTGGCAAAGTACACAGGAGCTACAAGCTATAGATATTTTCACCACTGATTACCGTTCGCTACTTCGACATTTTGCCTCAGCTATTATAAATTTAATATGCCGCACCTGACCATTATGCCCAAACTATGCGGCATTATGAATTTGAGTTCATCAGTGCGTCCGTTGCAATGGACCAAACGATTGCCCTACCCGTTCACCAGATTTGAACCCCTCACATTTCTTCCTTTAGTGTTAGTTTAAAAGAGAAGCGTAAAAGAAAGCGCCTATTGTACTGGAAAAACTGAAATGCAGTTTTGTCCACGAATGTCCCGTATTCAACACGGAAACTTTGCAAGATGTTATGTCCCATTGCCTCAGAGGAATCCAGCAATGCAAGCAGAACGCCGGTGGGCACGTTGAGCATGTTCGTCAATGACGGATATATCACCGTGTTATGCTGTTTACGTCTCTATACGTACTCACCATCATCACTGATTTCTGGACTACATTGGTGCACGGGCAAATGTTGCCAAATGTGCGTCGCGCCAGACTTCAATCCACGAGCAAAGCTGACTCGACTGTGCTTAGATTGATCACTTCTAGGCCACTTGGTTCACAATGATAATATTTACATTTCATGAATATGCCGAAGGAATACGGGGAGGATTTGAACGACACGGTGATCGGAGAATAGGCTACGCGGTTTCGTATTTTTATCGGGTTCACCGACGTACACACTGGCGTAGGATGAATGCCACCAAACAATAACATACCGGTCATATAAACGGTTAATATATGTGGCTCGACGAATTTTCAGTATGAATGCAGACTAAAATCGTGGCCTATCGATCGTTTTGAACTTGATGTTCGGAGTTTGCAGCATAATGTTTTAGAATATTTATCACAGGAGTAACGGGCTTTTGGCACACAGCATGCGTGAGAACCCAGATACGTGTGCTGTGTTTCCCCGAGTTGCTTTTGAATTTGCAATCTAATGAGCTTCGCGCATTGTACAATACGTTATTCACAGTATCCGCTTGGATTGGTTGTTGCCCAGCAATGCAACTTCTCAATTCCATGCTAAGGAACTATTGCCTCATAAGTGAACATGTTGGAATATATGCTCATCTTCTCGCCTAAACCAAATTGGGCAACGTAACCACACTTGTTTCCTGCAACGGCGATCAGCACTGCGACGAGAGAAAAGGTTATGCGACAGCGAGTTGTCTTTCGGCGGCATAGTTTTTCAAGCCTTCTTTCCCCAAACGTCACATTCATCTTTGCATGACCTTATTGGAAAGAACGCCTATTTTGCTAAGGTAGGTTGTTAGGAGGAAAATTTCCGGCTACAGGAGTATTGACCATAACCCCGTTTTTCATTAGCTGTAACAACACTTAGCACCTGTTGCGCATTCCATGATCATGCAACTTAACCTGTAAAAACGCCATCACAATTCTACCGCAGTTGCCCAGTAATGAGACACTGCTGTTTCGATTTGCACTATTGACTTCGTTATAAACAGCACGATTAATCATATATATATCGAACGGTGAACGTGTATTGTGACGTGCCGAAACTTGACTCGAACACAACCATCAGCGTCTGATCTACTGTTTTCACGATGGACGAAACTAGTAAGTACACATATACCCACAAGCATGACTACGGTAGTTTAACATCTATGTGACCAGGTGCGACATTTTGACATAGACCAATATCTACTATAGGACGGTTGGAAATTTAGTGTGCTCTACCTCACGCCCGAAATAGTGACCCTTTGTCCCGCATTACCAGATTACGGGACTAGACTATTTGGACATATGATAGATTGGCCTCTAGCTGTCCAGCCTTCTAGTTCAGCGCCTTTCGTAATCGGCATTGAGCATTTACAGTTGCTCGGCATAAAACCTTCGGACAACGACCTGTTCAACAGATCGTCAATGTAAGTGCGGTACGTACTGACAGGTGTTAAGGATTAGTGTGTGAAGTCTATCCTGTTCAGCAGTTATAGGTGCAACTATGTTAACCAGTAGTTGATGCACCTCTGACACTGCGCTATCCAGATATCGAGTTGGCAAAGATTGGTACAGTCAAAGTAGGTACAGAGATCTGGAATTCGCAAAAACGTATGCGAAGTTTGCCGATTGCGCAGACGCACAATCTGTCTGGGTGATAACAGGCTATCCGTCCCAGCTATCTGCTAAAGCACTTGCAGGTTCAGACACCGTTACACAGATGCACCTCCGATTGTAACGCCTCCAGCTGCAAACTAGTTGTTACGACCAATACCATAACGGCACTAAAGACCGCATCATTTGTCCTGCCGATGAAAACAGTCATGGTCCCTCCGAAAGGTGATGAAAGATCGATATCGGAATACTCCGACTGTAATGTGATCTAATGCGACTGAATCCTGGATGAACATCATAGGAGATTAGCTAATAGTGGACAAGAGACGGTGAGACTCACTATGTTGGCTAATAATGGTTTAAACAAAACCAGCCTATATGATGTTTCTCGTCATTCACCCAAACTCCTTGGACTACGGTGAACGGCGTTACGCCATTTGACTTTCAGTCATATATTGATACGGCGAATGTTTCCTTATCGTTCACTCGCCTTCGTCCAACACCAACACATTTCCCATTTTTCCTGATGTTCCATAGAGCGAACGCTAGAAACACAAACAAAATCCGGATGACATCCGTAAACAACAAGATTAAAATCGCCATACTTCACACCTGAAGGAGTGGCCTTATGTCCCGCTTTAACAGGATACAGGTACCAGATTTTTGGAACATTTGTCAGCTGACAACTATTTTTTAAGTTCGCGGAAAATGGTCTGCCACAGTTGCTGAAAGTAAAATATCTTCTGATGCACAAGCTCCGTGCTTTTTACTAGACTACTCATGCCTGTCTAAACAGCTGAGGACTAATATTTAATACATTCAAGAAAAATCATTTGAAAAATCTGTTGTTATGTACTTCGAAGTTAAGCTAAACACGACACGGCAAAACATTTACACCGCTTCTGTTATATCAGGATATTAATTTTCGGTGAATCATGCAACTGTAGATACAATGCTGTCAATTTGAACGAAACAAATGAGTACATGTTTATGGTCAACAAACTGGCTGCTATCCCAAATTGGATTGAGTACCCAAATGCACAGTTACGGTTCCCACTCTGTTACTCTACGAAATCAGAGTTCCTACACAGCATATTTGGTCGCTGTGCGCCATTCATGCAGAAGAGACGAGAGTTTGGAATGTGGCCAGAACCACTAACGAATGCAAATTTCCTCAAAGAGACCTAATGCACATCACAACTTCAAATATTAACTACTGTGCGCCTCTCAACGATTTCAACTAAACCGGTATTCGTGTGACTGAGTAAGGGTGTTTGCCGCCAAAATTACTCCACTGACGGCTAACTGCTGAACCCCACACCTCCCGGGAAGTAACTAGATGCTCGCTTGCGCTTCGACTTGTTGTCCGTAGATCAGGCGACCAAACAAGACATCAGGGCGCGCGTGATTTTAGTGCTCCTAATTTGCTCCCGTAGTTTGTCTGAAGAGGTAATCGGTTACTATCATATTATCCGTGCTAAAGCACATAAGCCCAAACTATACTAGCACCTCGTTACCGGATGCATTCAATGTCGACAATGTTTGCCTTACGTAGATTGCTGCGAAGAACCCGCAGGTTATCCACTGCCATATCATCAGGTGCTAGCTGTTCACATCGTGAAATACTGCGTCTTATACCTTAGTGATTTGTATTCTTAGGTCTGCCGGTTCACTTGCGAACCCCGTTCAAACACAAGCAAACACAAGTACATGCTTATAGTAACGAATATAAAAGATATCACCACATATTAAGCTTCGTATGTAGGGTGGTAAATATTGCTAACAGACTGCCATGGAAACGACAACAGGACCAAATCTGTGCAGCAGAGAAAATCTTTGTTAGTTTTGCTTTTCTGCACCATTTGTTATACAGGACGGCTTCACCTTTAAAACAGCATGAAACACTTGTGATTTCAGACATTGTAATTGTTACCTGCGATCATGAGCTTATCACCAACTGACTTGTGCACGTTCTGAGAATTTGAATATCCATACGGCGTTTCATATATTTAAAGTTCAACTTGCTCTTGCGATGCAATGCCAGTATGAAGTTCATTCCTAAGTCAAATGAGCAGTTTGAGCATGGCAGCGATTTCTGAAATGCCATCACCCTGCTCTGGAGAAAAATGAATGCCAGGATTCCAGGTGTGCCACTGGGAAGCGCAAAAGTTCACCGAAACAGAAGCTAAAAGAGTTCGGACTATTCAGTGGAGGGCATGGTAGGTTAAGGGGCAAATTGACGACATGCTGTTAGATCCCGCAGTATCCAATTCACGTGCACTTGCTTTACAGCAACCTAGCAGTAAAACTAGTTTGAAGCGATTCCTTGAGCCTGGCAGGACAGTGAAGCCCCCGTAGACGTCACAGAAAGCCCCATATTTGGTGGAATTTCATTTTGAGGCCACTCACTGAATCGATGGCTTCTGTGCTGATATCTACCATAACTAAATGGTACTTGAATTCGCTACGTATCGTTTTGCATGTTGCCTCGTTTTAGCTCCGATCCAACCATGCATAAGAAGTGTACAGTTACCACCCATCATTTACACGTAACATGAGTACAATAAATGAAATACTATTATATCGCAAGCAAGCAAATCTATAGATCCAATTGAAAATAATACTTATTTTCTTTCAGTGGTTTTGCTAAATGATTCAGACCACCCAACGGAGATTGAAGCCCAACGAAATCTGACGCTGATAATATGGTTGTGTATTGTTCAACCATAGAAAGAAAGACAGGGTGGTGTGGGGAATTCAATGGCAGTTTTATCGGCAAGAAAGCTATCCGTCGCTCCTAGAAGCGATAACGTTGGTGGGGGGGACGTCGTAAGCGCTGATAAACACTGTGTTCCAGCTTCAACATGGCGCGCTTTTTCCACGACCTGCAGAAAACCCGAGAAATGTAAAGGTATGAAATACACCGGTAGATCAATTGCAGAAATGAAAGGAAAAGCTTCACGCGTGTTTACTGAGGACTTGGGGTTAACATGCACTGCAGCGAACTGCATGCATGTTGCAAATTTTGTACATGTTTAGAGAGGCCTTTTGTAGCAAAATATACTGCTGCCATTAAACTTTATTACAAGGTGTCGTGATAAAACTTTGTGCGATAAAACTCCATTCGGTCCTTCAAAGGCTGTATCATAGGGGAGACGGAGTTAGAGACGCAATCATTCCAGTTGTTACGGCTGCAAAGCAAAACACACGATATGTCTACCAAAAGACTGCAAATATTCGAAAGTATGATCGAGTTGAATACAGCGGGGAAAACGCACTCACAACATTTTTATATATGCATCCCGTCTACACACTCGCACACGCACACAACCACACCCCGATAATCATGGTTAAAGAAATATATCTGTCATCCACACACCAGAAACATCCAGAATCACACCATGTGAAACTGACCAGCAATCAAAGATACAGTATTATCGATCAGATGGATTAAATAAAATGTGGCAATGATGGAGACGCAAACCACATCATGTCTCATCGATTTGACATCCGTGGGTTTCACCGATAACATTCAATAGATAAAACACAAACGCCACTGAATTTAAATGATGTCAAGCTGAAAACAAGCATAGGTCCTAAAGTGCGACAAATTAACAGTTGAAAACAGTTGCAAACTTGCAACTAACTTCGTCCAGTAGTGGACGCGGAGAACTAGCGTACAATGGACTGAACGGGGCTATGTCGTCTACAGGTGGCAGCCTGGAATTGAGATAAAATCCAAAGGACAGCTCCTCCTTGGAGTTATGGTAACATTCGCTGAGCTCACACATGGGAACGGTGGACAGCGAATCCTCATTTACAACCGAAGCAAAGGACCGGTCGTCTGAAGGAAAAAGATATAGGAAAGGCTGCTCTTACTTATTGTCGCGGAATCAACAATATCCACAATGGTGCCATGGGTGAGAACCGTAAAATAAAATAGAAGTGGTAGGACAATAATTAATGTAAATTGATTCTAAAAACGAATTGCATTGGCAATCAACAGCCAACCGTGTTACTTCAGGATACGTTGTCTAACCATGATCATATAACACCTATGCTAATTTACAACTTAGAAGGTGTGCTCAAAATCACTGAGCGGAACAAAATTTACTAAAGTGTCTGACTATTCTATATAACTCACACGTAGCAGGATTTCACTTGTTATTCTGAGAAGGCTTACCTCCAAATAGTTAACAAGCTACATAACAGAGCCTAGTCCGGAAAAGCACCGGACGCGTTTCGCTCTAATGGGGCTCGTCAGTGGTGCGCATTCCCTCGGTCCTTCAAGGAGGATAGAACCCATGACCGCTATCCAGCATCTTAAGCCATTGAGCCATGGGGAACGTTGGATTAGCTACATACTTTGCAAACTAACTGGGATATAGCACCACCTATCTGCTACTGTCACTGAGTGGTTAGCCTGCTAGTTGATGAATTCCTGTCACTAGGCGCTATATCCGACGGATGTAGAACTAGGTGAGTCTACCTTTATTCTATATTACTTACAAGTAGTAGGATTTTAGATGTAATTCTGATAAAGCTTTCATCCCAACTGTTCCAAGGCTACAGGGCTCTGTGTCTTAAGCTGCTTGCTAGTTGGCATCTGTCCCTAGCGGTTATGGGTTTGATCCCCTTAGAGGACCGAGGGAATGCGAGCCACTGACGAGCCCCAATAGGGCAAAACGTGTCAAGCGCTATTTCGGCCTAGGCTCTGTCACTTAGCCTGTGAACCATTGGAATGGAAGCCTCATCAGAATGACTGATTATACTTGAATGAATATATAGTAAAACGGGGGCTTTATAACCAGGGACAATCGAAATGTTGGGGGTAGATGCAACGAGGGTTATAAGGATTCAGACCAAAATGTAATGTATGTACAATGATATAATATGAAATGCGTAAATTCAACGCTTCCGGAAGATCATAGCACGTGCGTGGGTGACCATAAGTAAATGGAGCTTTGTACAACAAAGCTAATGTAGAAAAATGGATAGTTTGCAGTGCAACGATAAATTCACCGATTACAGGCGTCCGAATTGTGAGGCGTGATATACCCTACATAAGTAAATATTAGTAAAGTAGCAAATGTGCATTAGAAACACACACGCAATACGCGGACCATTTGGACAAGGATACGCATCAGGAATCTACTTGGTTCGCAAACGAAATCTCTGATTGACCAATGAACTAGAATACATAAAGGAAGTGCTCGCTGTAATTGCACATGTTACGGGCCATGAAATGCTTTCTTTAGACACGTAGAGTGTTCACATGTTTCCATATATGAAATCACGTTCAGTCCGAGGCAACTGGCAAACGAAGGAGATACAGCAATAAGATTAAGGAGAAATAGAAAGTGTTATTGGAAGAAAGAGAATATGACGCTTACCGACCGCATCCCCATCCACGGCGGGTATAGTGGCGCTAGAGTCCCAATGCTCGGCAATGCACCAAGGCCTATTGGAAATCATGTCGCCGAGGCGGCTGGACAATTGGGAACAAGAAAATGGGTGAATACGTCGGCAGTTTATAGGGCGACGCGGCATGATTTTCTGTGATCGCGTTGAGATTGCACCTGTTGCAGAAAGACACAATTTCGCACACCAGGGCTTAAAATCATTGCACAGATAAAGGATACGGTGGGGTATTCATTGAAATTAAGGAAAGCACGAAAAGCACGTGGAGAGGGGATTGCTAGCGAGTACATTTTAAGTTATCTATCAAAATACAGACCAAGAAGAAACGATAAAACTCTGCCAATAATACTCGGTAACCTTCAGAACGTGTGTATGATATCGCGCTACTCTATATTTAACGGGATTGCGTAAAAATACCGAAAGTTAGTGATGAATCCGGTTACCAGTTGACTAAATGTCGATGGTTCTTTTCTGTCGCACATCATAGAATCATGTAACATGCGCAGTTATCTAACTTGGAAATTCAGGAACCACTATTTTTTGAAGGAATTTGGGACATAAATGCAATTATGTCAATGGGAACCCAATACATTACAACAGTTGATTCCGAGTACACTAAGCTATCTATGCGTCATGATTAATACTCTATGTATTTTTCCAACAGTTTAGCGTTCCTACGGTCCAATAAGTGGTTCAAAGAAATTGATCGGTTTAACCAAAATTTTAGTCTTCAAAGATCGCTTGTTTTTGATATCGCAGTGATTCCCATACCCTTTCGATCCACTCCACATTGTTGCAATAACCACTGCCTTAATCAAATCGACAGTAGATTTGCTAAACTTTGTGATGTTGGACGAGCATTCCCTCATATTTTATCAAAGGAGTTCCAGAACATCGTTAAGTAAAGTATTCTGCAGCTTCTTATGTCGAAGAACCAATCTACCCTCGCAAAGCAAAGTTTCCTGAATGGTCGCTGGTGCTTCACCAACCTAATATGGACGAGGCACTAATGGGCGCAAGCGATGAACCAAGGCAAGTCGGTCGACGTCCTTTACATTAACTACAATAAGACTTTTGACAAGGTGAATCACGAAGTTGTCCTCGACAGGCTGAGGGTGTGCGGAGTTGGCGGTTGGCTGCGCAGATGGATCAAGAATTTCCTTGTTGATCGAAAGTGGATGGTCCAGGTAGACAACCATCTGACCGACAGGTATCCATCCAGCAGTAGTGTACCACAAGGCATTGTACCGGGACCGATTTTGTTTCTGATCCATTTAAACGATGTGAATCAGCTACTCCATTTACCTTGTGCGTTGTTGGCAGATGATTTGAAGGTGTGCAGAGTAATCCGCGCACCCAATGACTGTGACCTGCCTCAGCAGGAATTCGACCGCCTCTCCACGTGGTCTGCAGAGGTCAACCTTCAGACCAACCCGGCCAAGTCGCAATTCATGAGGCTAGGTAATTGTGAGCACAGTCGAACCTATACGTTGGCAGGTCAACTGTTGTATTCCGCGTCTTTCATGCGGGACGTATATTCCATGGACAACACCAATAGGCTTTGCCAAAACAGCCTTCGTATGCTTTGGGCGTTTAGGCGCAGCTTCAGCAATCGATCCGAAGAGATTGCCACTCACTTCGTCTCAATAATAAGACCAATGCTAGGGTATGGACCGCCCGCGTATTGTCCTATAAACCGGGGCGAGGTAGAAAATATTGAGCTAGTGCACCATGTGACCCCCAAGCTGATTCCCAGTTTACAAGCTGTGCCTTCCGAAGACCGGTGTAGTAAACTAGAGCTTTACACAATAGCTTATCGTCCACTTCGAGTTGACCTCATCATGACGCGCCGGATATTACATCCGGACGGTTGCCCCATGTTGTGGCCGCTGCTTCATCTGCGCACACCAAACAACGCACGCGGACACCGGTACAAGCTAGTAGTACCGGAGTTGAACCGGGTCGTTCACCGACTATGTTTCGAACGGAGAGTGGTGAATGTATGGAACTACCTGTCGCAGCAGGTAGTTGAGGTAAACTTGGGGTTAGAATTAAAGAAATTCCTGGACAAAGACTTCGCTGATATAAAATATATCGCGTGCACTTCCCCATAACCGATCTTTGTCTCTGAGTGACATTGATGCAGCGACAAAGAGATATCACTTCTTGCTAATTCCAACCAGTAAGCATTACATTCTTGTAAAAATCGCCCTGAATGACTCGCTGGTGAAATCAGCGTCACGGCTATGCACATCACCGGACTACAAAGAATTTGTACCAAGGATAATGAAAGTAATCTTTCAGCCAACGGAAATCGCGACAAGGTTCATGAAAAATTTGAAAATATTTCGCTGAAGGCTGCTATCTGAGCTTCGGCTGAAGGCAGTGAGCGACATCTTTTCCTAAGAAGCAAACGCGATGGGAATTACACTGGCGCAGTGCATTAACAGTATGT